GCCTCATTGCGTGAAGCATCCCTTCATTCACTTGATATTCTCAGAGCCCTTGCATTTTATATAGAACGCATGAGACATTTCAGAAAAATTGACCGACTGATTGTGTCTCTGGCCGAGAGATCGAAAGGACACCCAATATCATCTCAGTGCATCTCAAAACTCATAACCACATGCATAACTGAGGCCTACGCATCCAAGCGTATACCACTTCCGACACAACCTCGAGCCCATTCCATGAGAGAAATGGCAAGCTCAACGGCCTTCCTCAAGGGTGTTTCCCTTAAATACATATGCAGAGCAGCTACCTGGTCCTCGCATGACACTTTTGTAAAACATTACGCTATACATCAGAGGAGGTTTTCAGATACTGAGGTGGCATCAGCGGTGCTCTCTTCAGCAGACAAATAGGGACTCCGTTTTTTCCCACCTTCCTGCTGGACACCTAGTGGAGTTCTGCTGCTCAGTCACCTACAATGGAGCACCCACGGGGACATCACTTGAAAAAGAAAGCAAAGTTACTCACCTCGTTGCAGTAACTGTCATTCTTCGAGATGTGGGTCCCCGTGGGTACTCCACTACCCGCCCTCCTCCCCACTTCAGAGTCTTTCTCCTTTATATCTTCCAGATTCCGAGGCGGCCTTGAGAAACTGGCGGGGGCCGGACTGCGCACTCACACAAAAGAGCATGAATGCTGCGAGACACCACCGTGCATGCGCGGTGCAGCCGAGTATTGCTACTGACCACTGTGCATGCGCGGTGCAGCCGAGTACTGCTACTGGAAAAATCTCTGTTCTGCGACACCGGGGCAAGCCCAGCAGCTACAGTGGAGCACCCACGGGACACACATCTCTAAGAACGACAGTTACTGCACCGAGGTGAGTAACTTCGCTTTATTTGGAAATAATGTCAAAATACTGTCAAGCTAGAGGACCTCTTACTCTAAACTCCTGTGTAACCCCCTTTTTCCTCCCCAGGTTACTCGGGAGTAGGTCACACTCACAGGTGTGCCTGGGCGCCTGATGGTTTTAACATAAAAGGAGATCCTGCATACCCCAGTGGTGATGTTGTTTTGTTGGGGAAACCCTATCCACCCCCTTGCTGCTGTCCCTTACTCATATATAACATATAATGGAGGTGCCTCCACCTGGCTGGCCCTGTACACACATGGGGTGTGTCTAGACTACCTAGTTTTGTCGACAAAAGTGGACTTTTGTCGACAAAACTATACCTGCGTCTACACTACCGCTGAGTTCTGTCGACATAACGTCGACAGAACTCAGCAGTTTAGTCGACGCTGGTATACCTCATTTTACGAGGCATAACGCCTTCTGTCGACAGAACTCTGTCGACAGAAGGTGTTATTGCCTGTAACATTGCGTCCAGACTACGGAGTTCTGTCGACAAAGCACCTGTAACCCTCATTGTATGAAGAATAAGGGCAGTCAGAAGAAGAGTGCTCTATTTCAAAATAAGTGCTGTGTAGACACTCCCTATTTTGAAATAAACTGTTTCAAAATAAGATATGCAATTGACGTAGATCAATTTGCGTAGCTTATTTTGAGTTAAGCACAGCTGGGTAGACTCACCGTAGCTTATTTTGAGTTAAGCCCAGCTGGGTAGACTCACACATGCACAGAAAGCAAAACAGTATTTTCAGAGCATATTCTGAAAGCTGTTCACCACATTGATCTACTATTATTCCTACGACTCTTATTCTGCATGTAGTTGTGAATAAAAACATATGTGTGTTGTGTCATGCCAATATGTTTCTCTGCCTGCATATTGAAAACCTTGCTAAAATCCTGGCCCCAATTAAGTAATTAGCATACCTCCCACTGCATACCTCCCAACAGCCCTAGATTGCCTGCGATTGTCCGATTTTGACCCTGAAGCCGCCTGTCCTGGATGAAGTGGTTCCTGTACCAAGGGGCTGGCTGGGCACAGCTCCCCACTCTAGGCATTGCGACCTAGGTCCTAGCACACTGGGTCACATTGCTGACCAGGTTTGGGGAAATCTATTACCCACTGCAGTGCCATTTAAATTTGGCAAAGTCACAACCCCATTAGGGGACAGGGAGCCAGGCCCAGACCTGTGGTACAGGACCAATGCTGTGGATGAATGCAGGATGAGCTCATCCTTCAACTCCCCATGACTCCCACTCATGGAAGGCATCATTCAACTCCCTCCAGCCAGACTCTTCCACTACCCAGGACAGCACCCAACATCCCCCCTCACCTCCCGGGGCAGAAATTGTACAATACCACTGAAAACACTGGGATTTAATGGGGTTAGGATTTCACCTCGGGTCTAGGAATGTACTTGTGATTACTGTCTGACTATCTTGAAATAGAAAATAACATACCCAGAGGTTTAAAATATATTCCTAAACTGAATATCCTAATCTGTCCTAACATTTCCTTTGCTTTAACTTTAATTCTGCAATCATTTCAAAGTGTAGTTATGATCAGCAAACTGATTTTTAAAATGACATCTTCTTACTCACAGTGTCTCTGAAAAAGTTAATCGTTACTACTTTTTATGCCCTTAACCACTATTCAGCCCATTCTCCAATGGAAGAGTTAGCTGAATTCCTTTCTGTGTGCAACACAATCAATAATTAATAAAAAAGGCTCAGATTTGCAGCTGGTGTAAGTTGGGCAGAGCTCCAGGGAAGTCAGTGGAGGTATGCCGCTTTACACTAGCTGAGACCCTGTGGCAGAATCCAGTGGCAGAATCTATAACTTGTTAATTTGTGAACAAAAATAACACAGAGCAAGACTTTCATATCTTAGAATAAATATGCAGAAGTGGGCACTAGAGAAAAAATCTTTCTACTAACAGAACGAATAGAATATGAAGTTATTTAGAAATAATAAACACGGACTCTCACAGATTTTTACAAAGTCATTTTTTGAAATGTAATTGCACTTTTAGCCTGTTTGCTCTACAGTTTCAAAGAACATTGTTACAATGATAGCTTAATATGGATTCAGGAATATTTTTAGTAGCTCTTAGAATATTAATGATGCTAAGTCAGGCTTGGGCAAAATATAGCCCACAGGCCAAATCTGTCCCACCACGCCACTGGATCCAGCCTGTGGAGGCAGCAGGGAACCCCAGGCAGGCTCCTCTGCTTGCCCGGCAGCCCCTCACACCGTTCAGAAACAGTTGCCAGGCTCCGTTTCTGTTTCAAAACTGGAGGGGATGGAGGAAGCTTCAGGAACTGCCCCTCAGCTCCAGCACAATCCCATTGGCCTGTTCCTGGCCAGAAACCGGCCAATGGGAACTGCTTGTTTGAATAACAGGCAGCCAAGAAGAACCACACCCCAACTCCTCGGCTCAGTTATTCACTTAAGCACATGGCCAGGCAAGCAGGCAGACTGGCTGGCTGGGAAAGGTTTTAAGGTCTTCAAGCCTTAGCTCTGCAGGCAGGCAGGCTGGTTTGGCTGCTGGCTGGTAAGTGGTAAGTCTCCTGGACACAGCCTGCATTTGGCACCCCAGCGCCTCCCTGCCCCAACCCTCTTCTCCCTCCCTATTCAACATACCCAAACCCTCTGTCCCCCTCTTGCACCCATATCCACTCCCAGATCTGGCACCCCAATCTCCTGCCCCAGATCACAATCCCCTCCTACTCTAGATCACATCCCAAACCCCTGCACTCCAAACCCCTGCCCTAAGTCACAAATGCCTCCTTCACCCAAACTCCCTCCCAGACTCCAGTCTCCCTTCTGAACCCCAATCCCTTACCCCAAGCTCTCTTCTGCACCCAACCTCCATCCCAGACCTCGCATTTCCTCCATTAATATCATGGAAGAGTGTGGCCCTCAACCACTTTCCAAAATCTTGGGGTGGCCCCCCCATCAAAAATTATTGCCCACCCCTTTGCTAAATGCAGTCTTCTGTCAGGTGTTAAGACAATGGGTTAAACTCAGCCCTTACATAAACGGGTGCAATACCATTCAACGTAATTTAGAATTATACTTACCTGTGCCAAAGAATATAACAAGAGTGTGCATATGTGTGTATGCATACACACACACGTCACACACACATTGATAGCAATGTATTAATTGAAAACAAGGTATGTACACTCGTCCTTTATTTCTATGTCACTACCTGGCCTCGGTCTGTTTTCACTGAAAGTTGCTATTGTCTGATTATTGTTCACTAGCCTGTGTGAAATGAGTTCATTTCATGCTCTACAGAACTCCATATCCCAGAAACTAGAATCCCAACTAGCACTTCTTCCCCAAAGTTCCTGAGCCGTGTGTAGAACTTGAGATATAAGCCCTTGTGTCAGAGGCCTGGCATGAGGCCGGAACTAAAGTAGTGGCCAAGCTTTGCTAATATAAAGCAAAGCTAGTAAAAGTTAGGCTGTAAGCAAACATCAAACCCTGCCTGCTTGGCCATTTATAGAATTTATCAAGAACAGAGCTAATATTGCAAAAATTCACATTCCTTTGAAGCACTAAGTACAAGGTACTCACACAAGCACATCCCGATATCAAGTGATACCAAAACATCTCAATATACAAAACAATGCAAAAACATTCCCCAAGAATAATAGGAACACACTAACCTCTCCTAAAAGATAAGGTCAGGATGACAATATGGGTACGTGTACACATCAACATTATTTTGAAATAACTTAGTCTGGGGTCATTATCTTTGAAAACTCGTGGAGATCAGGAAAAATCCCGGATGATTGGAAAAAGGCAAATGTAGTACCCATCTTCTAAAAAGGGAAGAGGGACAATCCAGGGAAATACAGACCAGTCAGCCTTACCGCAGTCGCCGGAAAAATCATGGAGGGGATCCTCAAGGAATCCATTTTGAAGCACTTAGAATCATGTGCAACAAATGGTATTCAATAAGTTATTTTCATATCTTTATTAGGAAGGGTTTTTTTTGAATGATAGACTACTTCCGGATAAGCACTCCATGCAACCCCCTCTCTGTTGGTACTAGTGCTAGAATTGTTAATTTTCTTTCTTCACAGTATGCCTGGGATGCAAGTGAAGAATACCTGTTCAAGGCAATGGTAGCTTTTGCCATGAGAAGATATTCCAACAAAGAAACAACTCAGTAAGTGAATACTCAGTCCTTCAAGAGAGATATTCTCAGTAATGCTTAAGATGGAACATATTTTAATATAGAGAAGTTATAGAAATAAACACTAGGTAGAACTAGCATACTGCAATGCCATTAATATATTTTCTGCCATCCTGATATGTGCTAGGTGGCTTGTGAGTTTGATCACTGCCAGTTTCATCCTCTAGGCCAAATTCTCTATTGCCGTAAATTAGTTACTTGGCTTCACAGGAGCTGTGCCTGTTTAAAACAGCAGAGAATTTGGCCTTAAATGTTACATGACTCCATAAGTGAAGGTTCAGAACAAACAAGAGTTGGAAGAAAAGAAAAGAAAAGAAAAGAAAAGAAAAGAAAAGAAAAGAAAAGAAAAGAAAAGAAAAGGGGACAATAATGAGAAATTATTCTCAGGTAGACATGATGAAGGTGGCCCAGTTCTCTTTTTTAAATCTTTGTCTTCTTGGTTACCTTTGATCTGTTTTGTATCTCACAGACGAGATGACGCAAAGGCCAGCATGCAGGAAGACATGAAGGGTACATCTACACTACAGAGAAGATCAACAGTGGCTGCTGTCGATCTTCCAGGGTTCGAATTAGCAGGTCTAGTGAAGACATGCTAATTTGAACTGAGGGGGTGCTCTGGTCGATACTAGTAGTCCTGCTTCCATGAGGAGTAAGGGAAATGGAAGGAGGAGTGTTCTCTCTTCAACTTCCTGCAGTATGGACAGTGCCAAAAGTCAAGTTAACGTACTTCGACTTCAGCTACACAATTAAATTAGCTGAAGTTGTGTCTCTTAATTCAACCTTGTCCTGTAGTGTCGATGTACCCAAAGATGCTTATGAGAAAAGGAGACAAAAGTGATATACAATGACATACTTATCAGAATATGGAGGGTTATCTGTCCCTGAGGATGCATCTACACTGTACCCGTGGGTCAATATAAGATATGCGATTTGAGCTACACAAATTGAGTATCTTTTTTCGATCTAATTTCTAAATAATGCACTATTCTAAATGTCCCTTAACCCTTATGGAACAAGGGTTACAGGGATGCCGAAATAATGCGCCCGTTATTTTGAAATCTATTTCGATATAATGGGCATGTTTAAAGATGTGGAATAGCTATTTCGAGATACTTTCAGTATCCCGAAATAGCGTCGCTGTCCAGACATAGCCTAAGAGTACAACTGACTAATTTCCTTACACTTTTGTCAGGAAAAAGCTTCAGATTTCACACTTCAGGGCATAAGCTGATTACCAGCTGGAGTCAGGAGAAAATCTCCCTATATTGTTATTATACTTTCTCAAATGTCTGGTATTGGCTCCTTTACAAAACAGGCTACTATACTATATAGGTCTTTGATCAGTATGGCAGTTCCTATGTCTTTATTCACCTCCTCCTTAGAGATGAAAATTATATAAACATATTTCAGTAGCCTATATTTTTGCTTATGAGTATAAACAGAAATGTCTACAGTTCTAGTACATTACTGAGGCCAGGCTTTAGATTTACTTTTAAGCAAAACTGGCTCCGGCTGGCACTGAGTCTGATGAAGCATTTTCCATATTTGCAAAGAGATTAGCTAATCTGAGTCACATGATATTTGATTGCAGCTACAGTAGTGGGTTTTAAATAGAACAATCCCATCCATAACCAAGATGTTGGCTCATTACCATTTCATTCTGATTTGTAAGAAGCTCTCCTTTAAGCTAGAGAGCCGTATCTGGTATGTACCAATATCACTTTCCTCAGGCTCCACAGGAACAAGTCAGGAGACAGCATGCTTCTATTATTTTGTATCATTGCAAACAACATGAGTGCTACTCAGAGAAAATGAATTAAAGTAAACAAATCATTAAAGGTGGCCTGAAAAGCTTTTTCAAGATTGTACACTTTTGCAGCTTATGAAATTTATGGTCCATGAACATTCACGTCTTACTTATTTGTGATACAAAGCCTGTTTTTCTTCAAATTTGTGGCAATTACACCCACCTGGGAAAGAACAAGGGAGAGGCACTTAATCTATATTACTTGTTGGCATCACTGCTACTTTCATGCTATGATAATAGCAATAGAAATAACAGTAAGTTGACTTGGAAGCAAAAAAATAATGATGCTGATATCAAATGGGCTTACATTTTTAATATTAACTAGTCTCAGAGAGTAGCTATGTTAGTCTGTCACTTTAAAAATGACAAGTAGTTCTGTGGCACCTTAGAGACTCATCTGAAGAAGAGGGCTGTGCCCAGGAAAGCTCATAATACTATATATATTTTTGTTAGTCTCTAAGGTGCCACAGGACTACTTGTTGTTTTTAATACTAAATAGGTTATCTGCCTTGGGAATTTATAGACCCTACAGCTCAAAGATAATCATAGAAGTTTAGGACTGGAAGGGACCTTGAGAGGTCCCCTGTACTCGAGAGGCCTATGTATTATCTAGACCAGTGTTTCTCAAAGTGTTCTGTGGACCCGCTTTGGGAAAGCTGCTAGCGGGCCCGCACCAGTGTTCCCTCTAAGTTGCGTGGCAGCAGAGCTTCACAGGTGATTAATCAGCCCCACCCAGTCAGAGGCTCAGAGCTCCCTGCATGGAGCTGACTGACTGGGTGGGCCTGATTTATCACCTGTGAAGCTGTGCTGCCATGCAACTTAGAGGGAGCACTGGCCCACACCACTTTGTTTACCTAAAGGCCCAGTAGCCATGGAGCCTTGTGGTTTCCATTGGCTCTGGTTTACCACTTCCAGCCAAGGGGAACCACAGAAAGTAGTGTGGTCTCGGCAGCCACTTCCTGCAGCTCCCCTTGGCTGGAAATGGTGAACTGGAGCCTATAGGAGCCACAAGGCTTCATGGCTACAGAGCCTTAGGTAAACAAATGGCACAGGCCTGCTAGCAGTTTTCCCAAAGCAGGCTCATGGCTCACTTTGAGAAACATTGATCTAAACCATCCTTGACAGGTGTTTATCCAACCTGCTCTTCCCTAGGCAATTTATCCATTGTTACGGTTAGAAAGTTTTTCCTGATGTACAACCTATACTGCCTTTGCTGCAGTTTATGCCCATTGCTTCTTATCCTATCCTCAGAGGTTAAAGCAAACAATTTTTCTCCTTTCTCTTGCAACAATCTTGTATGTACTTGACAACTGTGATCATGTCTTCTTCCAGACTAAACAAACTCAGATTTTTCAGTCTTTGCTGATAGATCATGTTTTTAAACCTTTAATAATTTTGGCTGTGTTTAGATTACATCCCTCTTTCGATAGAGAGATGTAAATTAGGAACTTCAAAATTGCAAATTATGCTGGGATTTGAATTTCCTGCGCTTCATTTGCATAATCACGTTATGGTGCTCTTTTGAAAAAGCGCTATTTCGAAAGTAAAACCGCGGGATCAGTCGTTTCCCATTTTGTATGTGTACAACTAATTGTTCCTTTCTAAATGGAGTACTTTGCATTTGCCCTTATTAAATTTCATCCTATTTTCTTCAGACCACTTCTCAGTTTGTTCAGATCATTTTGAATTTTAATCCTATCCTTCAAAGCAGCCCCTCCCAGCTTAGTATAATTTGCAAACTTTGTAAGTGTTCTCTCTATCTCATTATCTAAACCATTGCTGAAGATATTGAAATGAATTGGACCCAGAACTGAACTCTGCAGAACATCACTCATTATGCCTATCAGTTGGTCTGTAGGAAAATACTGTGGGGCTGTCTCTATATTGGCACCCCTTTCCAGAAAAGGGATGCTAATGAGACCAGTCAGAATTGCAAATGCCGCGGGGGATTTAAATATCCCCCGCGGTATTTGCATGAACATGGCTGCTGCTTTTTTCCGGCTCGGGGTTTTGCCGGAGAAAAGCGCCAGTCTAGACGGGATCTTGCAGAAAATAAGCCCTTTTCCGAAAGATCCCTTATTCCTACTTTCAAGTGAAGAAGGGATCTTCCAGAAAAGGGCTTATTTTCCGCAAGATCCCGTCTAGACTGGCGCTTTTCTCCGGCAAAACCCCGAGCCGGAAAAAAGCAGCAGCCATGTTCATGCAAATACCGCGGGGGATATTTAAATCCCCCGCGGCATTTGCAATTCTGACTGGTCTCATTAGCATCCCTTTTCCGGAAAGGGGTGCCAATGTAGACACAGCCTGGCAGTTTCTTCTTTCACTAGGTCATTTTGCAACTAACAGAATTCCCCTCATGGAAAAAAATCTTTTCCATAATCAGTTTTAAACCAACCTATCAGTTTAATACAGAATTAAATTTCTGCTATGAAATCCTATGGATTAATTTATATACTTGGTAGTACAGTTGTTATTCTCTCACAAATTCCATATTCACTTCAGCTGAATTATTGCTGGTTTATACCAGTGTAGGTGAAAAAAAAAGAACCAAGGCCTTTCAAAATTATAATAATTGATACTTTCATGTCAAGATATCAGCTCACTAAAGGTGTGGTCTCCTAGCAACCATTGAGCTTGGCCGAGTCCAATAACACCCTCACTAATTGACTCTGCTCCCTTATTGGATATCAGGGCCAACAGATCATCATTTAAGCCATGCAGCAACAATAGCACAGTGGCTGCATATTGTGTTCCATGGCCGCAGCTGTACCACACTTGCTTCCTGCACTAGCCCTTGCTCCAAACCCTGTTTGCTCTGCTCCAGCCCTGCTCCCTTCATTCCTCAGAATTCCTGGCTCCAACCGTTGTCGTGTTCCCTCATCAACCCCCTAGTTTTGTCCATTGCTTCTATTCTGGCTCTGACCATTGGCTTCTTTCCCGACTGTACCTCTAGCTTTGTCCTTAACTCTGCTCCAACCCGTAGGCCAGAATCTTGTTCCAATCATCAGGCTGTACTGCCTACACCCTTCTGTGTGACATTTTGTGCTAGTGTTGTTGTTTGCTTGGAGGCGAGGTTTTGTGTGTCATTGGAAAAGGGATAATTCTTTGGTGCTACAGTGTCAAAGGAAAATCAATGTAATATGTCATATTAGACCAATTAAAATGT